ACATTGTTTACAAATGGTATATCCGTAATATTTGAACAATAATTTCAAAATCGTCATTCCCAATTCGCAAATATAGTTATTCAAAGCAAAACAGTAGATTGTCTTGCGAATAAAAGAATTATTTATATTTTGTGCCGTTTCGCTACACCTTGTCAACATATATAAATAGTGTTGCTTCAAATTTTATGATAAAAACCCCGATTTTCTAGACGTGTATACAAATAAAAATAGTAAGTTTATACTATAAATGAGTTTATTTTACCTGTATCGGTTTAAATTCGCTGTTAAGTTGCAAATAATTCTGTTTGAGAACGCAACAATTGGGCATTTCGCAATCAGGGCAGTTTCAAGGCAGTTTTGGCCTTGTTGTTGGGAAATCCACTAGGCCTTCTATTTTTTCGCTTGCGTCAGGCTTGTGTCCTTCCTCCGCCCCGCCCCCAAATCACCTAGTCCCAGTCTTTTCATCTGAAAAAGCGCTGAATATTAAAAAAATGTAAATAAAAATAGAAGGCCTAGGTCTAGGCTGATATATATTTATATATATATCTATATATATATATATATATATATATATATATATATATATATATATATATATATATATATATATATATATATATATATATATATATTTAATAATAGTTGAATGGGTATTGTGGATGGTAATTTTCAAGTCGAAATATATGTATATACGTTTATTAGACCTAACCAGGAACAGCTATATATACACTGCAAAAAATCCTTGCGTAAAATCAACTCAAATATTTGAGTAAAAAAAATGCATTCACAGTGACACACAAAGTTTGAGTAAAAATAACTCAAATTTCTGAGTAAAACAAAATGCATTCACAGTGACACCTAAAACGTGAGTAAAGTGCGATTTTTACTCACTGTGAGTAAACTACCGGTTCTACGCAAAACAATGAGTAAAATTTTACTGAAATTTCTGAGTAAAACAAAATGCATTCACAGTGACATCTAAAACGTGAGTAAAATGCGATTTTTACTCACAGTGAGTAAACTGCAGGTTTTACGCAAAACAATGAGTAAAATTTTACTCAAATTTCTGAGTAAAACAAAATGCATTCACAGTGACATCTAAAACGTGAGTAAAATGCGATTTTTACTCACAGTGAGTAAACTGCAGGTTTTACGCAAAACAATGAGTAAAATTTTACTCAATTTTCTGAGTAAACCAAAATCCATTCCCAGTGACACCTAAAACGTGAGTAAAGTGCGATATTTACTCACAGTGAGTAAAAGAAGTGCCTTACTCAAAACAACGAGTACAAAACTACTCAAATCTTTAAACATTCTCCTTTTTCTCAGCGAGCTGAGTACCTTTTTACTCATTGTTCCGAGTAAAGCCATGACTGAAAGAAATAATATAAAGTCAGA